AAACTGCCATTGCAATTTTGGTAGCAATTGCATTTAATCTGTAGATTACTTTGGGTAGTATAGACATCTTGACAATATTACTTATTTTAATTCATGAATACAAGATATCATTTTATTTATTTGTATCTACTTTAACTTCTTTCTTCAGCGATTTATAGTTTTCAAGATACAGATCTTTTACCTTGTTGGTTAAATTTATACCTAAGTACTTTATTTTTTGATGCTGTTATAAGTGGAATTTTTTAAAAATTTCTTTTTGGATAACTCATTGTTGGTATATAGAAACACAATTGATTTTTGTATGTTTATTTTGTATCCTGTAACTTTACTGAATTCATTTATTAGCTCTGATGGTTTTTTGATAGAGTAATTGACTTTTGCTTTTATCTTGTTTCCTTCTACTTTTTAATGTTTTATTTGCTGTCTTTTTACTAGATTTCAGAAAGGAAGCCTAGATCATTGATTTTTCAGACTTCTTTTCTTTGAATATATGCCTTTAACACTACATATTTTCTTCTAAGTGTTGTTTGAGCTGCCTCCCACAAGTTGTGACATATAATGTATTTATTGTCACACAAACAAAATATTTTCTAAATTCATTTTGATTTCTTCTTTGATCCATGGGTAATTTAGAAGTAATATAGGCTGGGCACAGTGGCTCATGCTTGTAATCCCAGCACTTTGAGAGACCAAGGCAGAAGGATTGCTTGAGCTCAGGAGTTTGAGACCAGCCTGGGCAACAAAGTGAAACCCATCTCTACAAAAAATAAAACAATTAGCTGGGTGTCGTGGCATGCACCTGTGGTCCCAGCTACATGGGAGGCTGAGGCAGGAAGATTGCTTGAACCCATGACGAGGTCAAGGCTGCGGTAAGCCCTGTTCATGCCACTGCACTCTAGCCTGGGTGACAGAGTGAGACCTTTTCTCAAGAAAAAAAGGAAGTAATATGTTTTATTTCCAGTAAGTTGAAGATTTGCTAGTTATATTTCCAGTTTAATTCTCTTGTGCTCAGAGTACTTACTCTGTATAATTTTAATCTGTTAAAATGTCTTCATGTTTGTTTTATGACTCAACTTATGGCCAAAGTTTTAAAATGTTTTTATTCTTGAAAAGAATGAAAAATGTTATCATTGATGGGTGCAGAGTTCTAAATATTTCAATGAGGTCAACTGTTAATTTTGTTGTTTCTATCTTTTACATAATTATTAATTTTTTGTCATTACATCCACGTATTAAGATAGAAGTATTAAATTTTCTACCATGATTATAGATGTACCTATTTCTTAATTTAATCTGTCCATTTTTGCTTTACATAGTTTACATCTTAGTTGTTGAGTACCCACAATTTAGATTCTGATCTCATCCTGTGAAGTTATTAGTAATATTTATCATTATGAAATGTTTTTATCTTTAGTAATGCTCCTTACCTTAATGTCTGCTTAACTATTCAGTTAAGAGTACATGGTGTATTTTTTTCCAACTTTTTTTCTTTCAGCCTATCTTATTTCTATACTTGAATGTGTTTCTTGTAATCAGCATATAATTGAATTTTTAACCTAATCTGTCAGCTTTATTTTATTTAATTGGCATACTTTATTTACTCTTAGTGAAAATACTATGGTTGGGTTTGTATTTACTACTTAACAAGTTGTTTTCTATTTGACTGACCTGTTTTATATTTCTCCTTTTCTCCTTTTTGCCTTGTTTTGAACCAATCGACCTTTTTTATTCCATATTTTCTTTTATTAATTTGTTATTCATTTTCTTTTTTTGAAATTTCTCCTTTGTAAAATTTTCTTAGCTTATTGCAGTGTTTTAGAAATTACTATTGATACCACTCTCCCAAGTATTCTAGAACCTTAGTCTATTTTTACTCCATTTAATTTTTTCCTACATTTTAATTTTAATTCTCTATTTTTTTAACTCCATGAAAGGTTGCTATTGTTGTTTGGCAAACTCAGTATTTATTTATATTTACTCACACATTTACTCTTTGTTGAGCTTTTCATTGTTTTCTGCTTATTACGTTTTCATCTGAGATCATTTTTGTGCTGCCTGAATAGCTCTCTTTCGTTTTTTGTTTCTTCATTTTTAGTACAGGTTTGCTGGCAAATAATTCTCTCAGCTTTTCTTTAGAGGAAAATGTCATTATTTTACCTTCATTATTGAAGAAAGTTTTTGCCAATTATTGAGTTCTATCTTGGCAGTTATTTTTTCAGCCCATTAATAATGTCAGTAGGCCGGGCGTGGTGGCTTATGCTTGTAATCCCAGCACTTTGGGAGGCTGAGGCGGGAAGATCATGAGGTCAGGAGTTTGAGACCACCCTGGCCAACACAGTGAAACCCTGTCTCTACTAAAAATACAAAACTTAGCTGAGCGTGGTGGCAGACACCCGTAATCCTAGCTACTCGGGAGCCTGAGGCAGGAGAATCACTTGAATCAGGGAGGCAGAGGTTGCAGTGAGCCGAGATCACACCACTGTGCTCCAGCCTGGGCAACAGAACTAGACGCCATCATGAAATGAGTAAATAAATTTTAAAAAATTAAAAAAATAATGTCAGTACATTGGCCTTCATTGTCACTGTTGAGCAGTCAGCTGTCAAGTCTTGTTGCTTTTTTTTTTTCATGTCTGGGTACTTTAAATTTTTTCCCTTGATCTTTGGTTATCATTAGTTTTATTATGATGTCTCTAGGTATAGTTCCTTCTATTTATCTGGTCTAGCTCTTGAATCTACGGGTCAATGTCATTTCTGAATTTTGGAACATTCTTAGCTATTATCTTTCCATGTATTATTTCTGCTTCATTCTTATCTACTCTGATCTTCCTGCTTCCTTCTTTTAAAAAAACCCTTGTGATTACACTGGGCCCACTAAATAATCTAGAATAATTACTCTATTGCAAGATTTGTAACTTATCACATCTGCAAAGTTCTTTTTACTATGTCAGGTAGCATACTCAAAATTTCCAGGAATTAGAAAGTAGATATTTTCATGGGGGGCAATGTTCACTCTACTACAGCCAACCGTCTGGCCCCCAAACGATCATGCCTATCCTGCATGCAAAATGCATTCACCACATCCCAATATCCCCCAAAGTCTCCACCCATTACAGCATCAACTCAAGTCCAAAATTTCATCTAGGTGTTATCAACCTCAAAAGTGTCAGTTTGCATCATCTCAATTAGGTATGGTTAGACTCTGGTTATAATTCATCCTGGGACAAAATTTCTCTCCATATGTAGACTTGTGAAATTATAGATTATTTGCTCCCAAATACAATAGTGGGAAAGACACTGTATTGACATAAATGTCAATAATAGCTATAGACATTCTTGTTTGAAAGGGGAGAAAGTAGAAGGGGAAAATTGAGTCACTAGTCCAAACAATTTTGAAATTGTTTCAGCATAATGCCATTAGGGTTCAAGGCCTGGGCTAATTCTCTGTGACTCAAGGTCCCACCTGCTGGGCCAAAAGCACTACTACTGAGTCAAATATCCTCTTTCATGAAAGGTAGCACATGTTGGCCAGGTGCGGTGGCTCACGCCTGTAATCCCGGCACTTTGGAAGGCCGAGGCAGGCGGATCATGAGGTCAGGAGATCAAGACCATCCTGGCCAACACAGTGAAACCCCACCTCTACTAAAAAGAATACAGAAAATTAGCTGGGCGTGGTCGCGGGCGCCTGTAGTCCCAGCTACTTGGGAGGCTGAGACAGGAGAATGGCATGAACCCGGAAGGGGGAGCTTGCAGTGAGCCGAGATCGTGCCCCTGCACTGCAGCCTGGGTGATAGAGCAAGACTCTGTCTCAAAAAAAAAAGAAAGAAAGAAAGGTAGCACATGTTTGACCCTGAGTAATTTTATCAATCTGTTTCCTGCCTGTAGAATTTTGGGAATCCAGTAACCTTCTTTCATGTATTTCCGTTCTCTGTCCTTTTCAGTGCAGTCTGGCAGTGTTGTTGCTGATATAACATTTTCAAAATCTTATGGGTCTCCCATGGGAAGTCACTTCATTAGACAGGAGGCTCCTTCTCAGATCTTTCCTAGATAATCTCATCTCTATTTTGCACTCTACTGAGATGGCTGAAGGGATGTCACACATCTAATCTCTTCAAAGAGTCTTTTGTGTGAGTAAATGCTGTGATTTTTGTTCCTTGCTGGACTCTAGCTAAAGGTTGTCCAGCCATTCTCTTGCTTTCTGAACAGAGTATGTCTTCCTGACAGCAGATCTCCTAATTTTAGCAACATTTGTGATCAAGATAGGCTAAGAATTTCCCAAATAGCTAATATACATGTGATGTTTCAACACAGTGTAGTTCTTATTATCTTTGATGTGTGATTTCTCCAATCCTAAGTCAACAGGAGCTCTTTCAAGCTGATTACTGTGTTCTTTTGACATAACCTTTGATGACTTTGTTGAATTCTGGTAGAATAAAATGTCCCAGGTTCATTCTGTGCATTTATTGCTTTAGATCTAGAAACAGTCGTTTCTGAAAGATGCCCTGAATTATTTTAGTGAGAAATGCTTTTTGAAATCACAGTCTAGGCAGCAGGGGTGATCATTGCCATTACTTCTCTGCCTTTTCCGAGCTGAAAAACATGTAAGTTTTGTGCGTGTGTGGTTTTTGTTTTTTTGTCAGACAGGGTCTCACTCTGTCACCCAGGCTGAAGTACAGTGGTGCAATCACAGCTGACTGCTGCCTTGACCTCCCAGGATCAGGTGAACCTCCTACCTCAGCCTTCTGAATTGCTGGGACTACAGGCATGTACCACCATGACTGGTTATTTTATTTTATTGTTTGTAGAGGTGGGGTTTCGCCATTTTGCCCAGGCAACACGTAGTTTTAAAAATGAAAGAAGTGGTATGTTCATGCTCATATTTTTAAACTTTTATTTGGTAATATTTTGCAATTTTAATGTAGTTTCCTACCTCATTAACATAATGCTTATTTGCTTTCTCCTATGATTTACATACATTTTAAGTTTCATTTTTTAAATTTCAGCTTTCATGTCCTTAAGAATGAGATGTTTACAAGGCACACACTGTTTCGTCAGTTTGCAGTGCTTGCTGACACATCCTTCAATTATATTGTAAGTGCATGTGATGTTTAGATGCTATTTGTCTCTTTGAATATACCTGTCTGTTTCTTTCTGTTCTCGTTTAAGGTTTATCGAGCCCCTGTCATTACAGGCTGTAGAGATAGTACAAGGCAGTCACTGCTAGATGCTGAGGGTGTAAGACACCAAGTGCCTGAACCCAAAGAGCTCAGTCCAGTGTGAGAGGTAGATGTGTAAACAAATTGCTACAGCGCAATATGGTTGAGCTACAATAGGGGCAAGTATAAATTTCAGAGGAGGGGACACTCATTCTGCCTGGAGCGTATCTGTCAGTTTGCCCTTGTGGCCATGGATATAATATTGGGAAATATCAAAGCTCAGAGTCTAAGCTTCCAGTGACATCCAAAGGGAAAAAGGAAGATAGGAAAATCCGTTCCTAGTGCCAAGCCATTCAGTTTCACATTACAGGTCATGTAATAGATAAAGCCCAATTCTGTATTATGCTATTATTTAACTATTTGACTTACTGTTTTCATTTGGGGGCTCTAAATGTTAAGGTAAATGATGCCCAGTATAGAAATATATCCAGAAAATTTTAATTAGTAAGTAAACCAAAATGAGACAAACTTTGTTGAGAACCTGCTATGATGCTAAGTGGTCTGAGAACAAGTCGGGTTTGTGGGGAAGGGACTAAGAAACATGAAATATATAAATATATGCTCTTTTTTTTTTTTTTTTGCTTCGAGAGGCATACAATGTGAAATCATCTTCTTTCTGAAATTTTTTTTCAACATTTGTCACTTTAAGACCATTTTCTAAATTTAAGTTGCCGCAGGAGATCAAATAACTTAAGTACACTTGCAAGATAATATTAAATTAATTCCTGTTTATAAGTAAGTTTATATAGTAACATTGCTGAGGATTTTAATACTTGATTTATTTGAAATGTTCCCAAACTGATCTACATAGATAAGAAGATATATATAGTGTCATTTTTCCCTTCTTGGTTTTTCCTCTTCTCACTTGCAGGTTACAATTTTAGTTGGAGTAATCTCATTTTAGAAATTTAATCAGTTAAGCAAATAAAACATTGGAGGATCCAGGAGAATATGGTGTCACTCAAAATCAGGCTTTTTTAAGATTGTTAGCTGGTAACATTTTCTAGTCCAAATTTGAATTATCTAGGCTTTATGAAACAGACTTCTAAATCTCAAAATTATACCACTTCAAGCACATGAGTAGATCCAGTATTTTTCCTGAGAATAATCTTGGCCCTGCCCTCAAGTGGCCATGCAATTCACCTTCCCGTAGAGGCGGATGGAGCTCCATCTGGTCTAGAATCCATCCATGTGCCAGTGTTTTCCTGGATTCAGAGTTTATGAATCTTCATGTATACATCCATACAGTATGTTGACACATGAGATACTCATCAGAGTGTATACAGATTTTCAAATACTTAAGAAAAACTGATGGGGAAGGGGAGAGAAAGAGTAAGCAAGTGAATGTGTGAGTTTTAGATCCACTAACACTGTCCCTTGGTTCCTTCTCTCTAGTCATTCATCCACCCTACGAACATTTGTTGAGTACACATACATACTAAGCATCAAGCTACATGCTGAGTGTAACACAGTGAACAAGACAGAAATGGCTCTTAGATTCACAGACTGTAAATTCCATGAGGTGACAGACTGGTCTATCTTATAAACTATTTTACCTGCAGAGCTTAGATAGTGCCTGACCTACAGTGTGGAAAAGATAGGCATTAATAGGGATATATCGGAATTTAAATTACAAATTTGGATAAATGCTGTGAAAGAAAAAGTTTGATATGATCTTACTATTGGGGTATATTTTACATATGGTTAAATGCACAAATATTAAGTGTACCATTTGAAGAGTTTTGCTTTGTAACCATCATGTAAGTCAAGGCATTGAACATTTCCATCATCCCTTCAAGCTCCCTCATGTCCCTTTGCAGACAATACATTGCCCCCATCATCACACCAAATAAGCATTGTTTCGATTTCTATCACTACAGGTTAGTTTTGCCTTTTCTTAAATTTATGTAGATGGACTCACACAGTTTATACTCTCTTATGTCTGGCCCATTTTACACAGCACAGTGCTTTTAAGATTCACCTGTGTTATTGCATGTATCCATGGCAGTTGTTCCTTCTTAAGTTCCTTTGTAATGCTGAGTAGCATTCTATTGCATGAATAAACCACAATTTGTTTATCCATTTTGCCTTGTTGGAGAAATGGGCTCTTTCCAGTTAGGACTGTTATGAGAAAAAAAAAATCTGCTATAAACATTTGCTTACAAATCACTTGTGAAAGTATGTTTTAATATATTTCAGGCAGGAGTGGAATGGTGAAGACACAGGAAGTGTGTGTGTTTAACTGCATAAGAAACCACAAAGACACATGCATGCACATGCTCGTTGCTGCACCATTCACAATAGCAAAGACATGGAATCAACCTAAATGCCTATCAACAGTAGACTGGACAAAGAAAATGTGGTACATATACACCATGGAATACGATGCAGCCATAAAAAAAGAACAAGATCATGTCCTTTGCAGCAACATGAATGGAGCTGGAGGCCATTATCCTAAGTGAACTAACACAGAAGCAGAAAACCAAATACCACATGTTCTCACTTATAAGTGAGAGCTAAACATTGAGTACACATGGACACAAAGAAAAGAACAACAGACATGGGGGCCTACTTGATGGTGGAGCTGGGAGGAGAGTGAGGATTGAAAAACTACCTGTCGGATACTGTGCTTACTACCTGGGTGATGAAGTAATCTGAGCACCAAACCCCCATGACACGCAATTTACCTGTGTAACAAACCTGCACATGTACCCCCTAAACCTAAAATAAAAGTTGTTTTTCTGTTTTGTTTTGTTTTGTTTTGTTTTGAGATGGAGTCTTGCTCTGTCACCCAGGCTGGAGTACAATGGCACGATCTCGGCTCACTGCAACCTCCGCCTCCTAGGTTTAAGCCATTTTCCTGCCTCAGCCTCCTGAGTAGCTGGGATTACAGGCATGTGCCACCAAGCCTGGCTAATTTTTGTATTTTTAACAGAGACGGGTTTTACCATGTTGGCCAGGCTGATCTCGAACTCCTGACCTCAGGGATCCAACTGCCTTGGCATCCTAAAGTGCTGGGATTACAGGTGTGAGCCACCATGCCCGGCCAAAGATTTTTACAAAAAATAAACAACAAAATTGCCAGTACTCCAAAGTGACTGCATCGTTTTACCCTCACACCAGCAATCTTTGAGAGTTCCACTTGCTCCACATCCCCACCAACTTGATATTGTTAGGTTTTTTTGTTTGTTTTTTGTTTGTTTTGTTTTGTTTTGAGACAGAGTCTCACTCTGTCACCAGGCTGGAGTGCAGTGGCACAATCTTGGCTCACTGCAACCTCCGCCTCCCAGGTTCAAGCAATTCTCTGCCTCAGCCTCCTGAGTAGCTGGGATTACAGGCACTTGCCACCATGCCAGGCTAATTTTTGTATTTTTAGTGGAGACGGGTTTCACCATGTTGACCAGGCTGGTCTTGAACCCCTGACCTCGTGATCCACCCGCCTTGGCCTCCCTAAGTGCTGCAATTACAGGCCTGAGCCACAGTGCCCGGCCAATATTGTTAGTTTTTAAATTTTAAACATTTAAAAATGTTATCTCATTATAATTTTAATTTGCATTTCCCTAATTAATGACGTTGAGCATCTTTTCACGTGCTGATTGATCATTCTTAGGTCTTCTTTTTGAAGGATCTACTTAAGACTTTTTAAAAACTTGTGGCTAAATGCACATAACAGAAAATTTGTCATTTCAGCCATTTTTAAATGTACAGTTCAGTAGTGTCGCAAACATCCAAATTGTTCAACCAAATTCCAGAACTCTTTTCCATCTTGCAAAAGTGAGACTCCACTCTCATTTAAAAAATAACTGCCCATTCCTCTAATATTGCACTTTTGTCAATTTTTAACTGTTATTGAGTTGTAGCATTTTGTTAAATATTCTGAATACAAGTCCTTTGTCAGATATATGTATTACAAACATTTTTTCCTTGGTCTATAATTTTTCCTTCTATTTTCTGAACAGTGTCCTTTGAAGGTCAGATATTTTTATTTTAATGAAGACAACTTAGTTATTTTTTCTGTGGCAGATTGTATTCTCTGTGTCTGTGATGATATCTCACATTCTGTATGTATTTCTTATAATATTGATCTTGTCTTTTTTTGTTGAATTTCACCAGTTCCGTTTTTCTAGATGAATTGCCTGTCTGTGTATGAGTCTATTTCTAACCACACTATTCTTTTCCATTGGTTTATTTGTCAGTCCTTTTGCCAATATCACACTGTCTTAATTAACATAGCTTTCTAGCTAGTAAATCTTGAAATTGGGTAATGTAAATCCTTTTATTTATTTTTTTTTTCAGCTTTTTTTTCTTTTTTTTTTGAGACAGAATTTTGCTCTTGTTGCCCAGGCTGGAATGCAATGGCGCCATCTCCGCTCACCGCAACCTCCACCTCCCGGATTCAAGCAATTCACCTGCCTCAGCTTCCCAAGTAGCTGGGAGGCATGCACCACCATGCCCAGCTAATTTTGTGTTTTTAGTAGAGATGGTGTTTCACCATGTTGGCCAGGATGGTCTTGATCTCTTGACCTCGTGATCCACCTGCCTCAGCCTCCAAAGTGCTGGGATTACAGGCATGAGCCACCATGCCCAGCCTTATTTAGCTTTTTTTTAGCCTTGACTTGAAACTCGTTACTTAACTTATATTTGAAGTTCAGAGGTACATGTGCAGGTTTGTTATATGTCATGGGGGTTTGTTGTACAGATTACTTCTTCAGCCAGGTGTTAAGTCCGGAACCCATTAGTAGTTTTTCCTGATCCTGTTCCTCCTCCCATCCTCCACCCTCTGGTAGGCCTCAGTGTCTGTTGCTTCCCTCTGTATGTCCATGTGTTCTCATCATGTAGCTTTCATCATTTGTAAGAGAGAACATGTAGTATTTG